TGGATAGATAGATATAGATAGATACAGATATTTTTATCATAGATAAAAGAGTTGCCGGTAACTATAAAAAAAATTTCATGTTTCAAATCATTTATAGGTACGTGTTTGTTTTGTATTAATCGGCGAAGGCTAAGCAAGTTATCAGCAACTTTAAAAAAGCTGGTAACAAACAAACTAATATACGGAGACGGCAAAATCTTGTTGTTACAAATACGACGAAAGTTGGGCCATTGGGACATCTGGATCCACATGGATTTACCGTATTGTCCCTAATTAAAGCCTCCTCGCTAATTATCGACCCCCCGATATTTTTATAAAGCTAACCTTGTGTGACAACACTAGTAATTCAACATATAATTCTCTACTGTAATCCACTTTAACTGTAATCCACTTTATTACTGTAATATTGACAGCAATATAAATCCAACATATAATCCACTTTATTACCGTAGTTTAGATTTGAAAAAAAAGAAAAGAAAGCAAACACACACACACACACACTTATTGTCATTGAAATGAACAAATCACATATAAAAAATTATAGTCACTCCATTTTCAGTTTTTAATACCCCCTGGGGCGTTAATTAGGAGCAACACGGCATATAACTTACTAACTTGTTATTTCCTTCAAAATGAGTTTTTGTTTTTTCCTGCAAACTCGGAAGGGCAATTTAAAGAAAGTTTAATTATTATTTTTCAGTAACCACTTTGCAACACGCTCGTTCTAATGACCTAATATTTTAACACAAGAGTTATAAGGAACACACATCCGTTTTTATTGTAAGACATTGTACTGAGGCTTTACAAGCACCGAATTCCTTTCCAGACCCCCAGTGGTTCGTAGGTCAGTCTGAAGGCTTATAACGCTAAAAATCGGGGTTTTTCGATACCCGTGGTGAACACAACCTAGTTAGGCCATTGTGTGACTTTGCGCTTGACCACAAACAAACATTCCGCTGAATTAATACTGAAGAACGAAAAGGAAAACAGTACAGTTTTTAAGACTTAACACAAATAGAAAGCCATTCTTTTAGAAACAAGACGTTCCGTTGCAAGTCTTTTACAGGAGTAATGGTTTCGTGACGTTCACGTCTCCTCTTCAGTTCGACATGAATCCATATCCTTTTACAAGCCTTTTAATAGAAAACACAAAGTTTGATCGAAAAGTTTGGTTTTCTTCCTTTTTATAATTAATTCCGAGCCTGGTAAAAGCTTCTTTGGGAGTAGCAAAGATTGCTTTTCGATTGATATATCTGTAATAAAATCCTACTTAATTAACTTCTGCAAAAATACTAAATTCAATTTGTTTCGGAACTGTGATCACGTGCTGTTCAAGTTACAATCGCAGAAGGGCCCTCTAGATATATTGCGGTGACATTTAATGTAAGCACCACCAGCAAAACCTGACGATGGACAGATGTGTGTCTAAACACCGAAGTCTTCTTGTTGTTTTCTTAGTGCAAAGTTGCGCTCTGTCCACCTCGGGAAATCGAACTTCGGATTTTAGCATTGTAACTCCGTAAACTTACCACTCGCCCATCGGGAAAAAACCCGAAATGCTGGACTCTTGTACGTTTTTTGTTATTGCCAACCTACATAACATGTTACCTGTACTCTGTCCACCGGGGGAATCGAGCCCCGGATTTTAGCATCGTAAGTCTGTAAACTTACCACTGACCCACCAGCGGACCGGATGTAGTGTTTTTATTTTCTGAGTGCAAAGCTACACAATAGGCTATATTGCACTCTGTCCATTGCGGGGAATCGAACCCCGGATTTTAGCATCGTAAGTCTGTAAACTTACCACTGACCCACCAGCGGACCAGATGTAGTGTGTTTTTGTTTTCTAAGTGTAAAGCTACACCATGTTTAGTGGGACGGAGATTCGAACCCGCGACTCTCAGATTGCGAATCAAGCGCCCTAACCACCTGGCCATGCCGGGCCTCAAAGGACTTATTGACAATTCAAACAGTTCGTTTACTTTTCACAATACATTTAACATATATATAAATTGATACAAATTTGTACCAAATCATCAAAAAAATATAAAGAATCAGTTAAAAGTTAAAGGCTATTATGAAGTAATAGTGACCAAACGTAGACTTAAGTTTCTTAATAAAAAGATTATTTGTTAAAAACACAACAGGTAACGAAAGTCGAACGCTCAAATAATTGTTTGTTTTTTTCTCAAATGCAGTCTTCTGAAGATTTAACAAGACTACGACGACAAGATGTATTGAACTTTACCTTCTGAAGCGTGGGCATATTCCAAATTACATCCTGAAAGTCGGAAATCCACTAATCATAACCCCCCCCCCCCATCTCCAACCCCCTTAACCGACCTTAATTAGAATCCCTATTGAATTTTCTAGGCTTAGTAACCATTCGCGCGGGTCTTATTTTTATCATTAATTTAAAATTTAATGAACGTTGTCTTGAAGTACGTACAGTGTAGAAAAAAAACACTTTCTACACTCTCGTTCATATCATAATTTTAAAAGAAGCGTAGTATCTTTATTGCGTACTCAAGCTTAAAATACGTTTTAAGGGAGGATTGTTATCTCTAAGCCTTTCTTGTGCGCGGAAATTTTACAAAGGTTCAGTGTTAATATAAATATATAACTTTAAACTACCGTGTAATTACCGCCATTTTTGCGCACGTCACGTATAAAAAGTACCGTGATTTATTGTACGGTCTGATAATTTTCGATAAATAATACATTGTAACAGTACATACCTGGTTTTTGTTTATTTATCGGTAAATACCCAAGAAGTAGTTTAAATAAATAATTTGTCTTTTTATTTTATTTTTTAATAACCAAAGACTTTCTGCTTGCTGTTTTTTTTCACTTAGTTAAGGAATATAAACGGTTTATATTTTTGTAAAATCTAATAACCTTTTCTCTGTAATTAGTATCTTTTTTCCAACAGTAATGTAAATTATGTTAGAATTATATATAAATAAACATCTCAACGTTTCAAGTGCTGTAGTGGAGTATACTTTTTATCCCATATATATCTCTGCTGTTTGAACAAACTAAGACCACTCCCCCCACCCCCACTTTTAATGGAAATATTTCTAATGATATAATTATCATAATGATATAAGTTGGTCTCATTTTCCAGTTGATGCTAGACTATTGTGCGTGAACCGCGAAGAGATGATGAAAAGCCTATTGTGAAATCTTTCAAGTGCCACTTTACGCTATTGTTTTCTATTCGTTTAGATACAACGAGAAAATCTTTTCAAATTCGATATTGACCCTGCTAGTAATTTAGACTACATTATGACGCTGATAATACTACTCCTCACCTTACGAGCCAATCAACTAATGTTAAATAGTTAATGGAAGCTAAACTTAAACGAAGCCTTTTGATGGATGATGAGAGACGAAAGTTTATATATGCAGTAAAAGAATTTAAATTTACAATTTAAACGTCCAAAGCTGGCGAAATACTGGAAACCAATAGGCCTAGCATTTGTCCAAAGCTGGCGAAATACTGGAAACCAATAGGCCTAGCATTTGTTCAAAGCTGGCGAAATATTGGAAACCAATAGGCCTAGCATTTGTCCAAAGCTGGCGAAATACTGGAAACCAATAGGCCTAGCATTTGTCCAAAGCTGGCGAAATACTGGAAACCAATAGGCCTAGCATTTGTCCAAAGCTGGCGAAATACTGGAAATCAATAGGCCTAGCATTTGTCCAAAGCTGGCCAAATACTGAAAACCAATAGGTCTAGCATTTGTCCAAAGCTGGCGAAATACTGAAAACCAATAGGCCTAGCATATGTGATAAAAATCGCGTAAACCACAGATGCTTTACTCACACCTCTTAGTTTGTCCGTTTAGGATTTCAAATTAGAGGTGTGTAAAAAAACAGGATAATTCACTGCCCAAGAGGCCTTTCGTTCAATTATCTTTACTCGTCAGCTGGCTTGGACAAATCTACTACTTATGTGAACAAAGATTTGGACATTTTTGTTTCTCATCGTCTAGCCCAGCTGACGAGTTACTCATTGAACGAAAGGTCTACTGGGTTTCGTGGAGCTAAAAGATAAATCCGAAATACTACTTATACATATCTCTGATTTTTTTTAAAACCCTTAATGGACACGTTAAGAAGAATGTGAAAAAAATAATTTACAGTTTTAATTATTTTTATCATACGTGTGACTTATAATGCTATTCATTGTCATACGTGTGACTTATAATGCTATTCATTGTCATACGTGTGTGACTTATAATGTTATTCATTGTCATACGTGTGACTTATAATGTTATTCATTGTCATACGTGTGACTTATAATGTTATTCATTTTCATACGTGTGACTTATAATGCTATTCATTTTCATACGTGTGACTTATAATGCTATTCATTGTCATACATGTGACTTATAACGCTATTCATTGTGACTTATAATGCTATTCATTGTCATACGTGAGACTTATAATTTTAAACTCGGGACTGTTATGAACACTTTTTGTCTAGTTTATTAATCACTTTAAATACAGTTAAACATATTACTGTCAACAAATGAGATACTAAAGTTAACGCAACCTAATTTCATAAATCAATATAATACTGTTGCTTATCTGCTTGTTTGATAATTTCCGGTAAAAATTATTTCCGAGTGACTTCGTCTGCCCCATCTGTTCACACATAACACCCAAATGAATAGTCTTGTATACCATCGTCTGCCCTATCTGTTTACACATAACACCCAAATGAATAGTCTTGTATACCATCGTCTGCCCCATCTGTTCACACATAACACCCAAATGAATAGTCTTGTATACCATCGTATGCCCCATCTGTTCACACGTAACACCCAAATGAATAGCTTGTATACCATCGTATACCCCTTCTGTTCACACATAACACCCAAATGAGTAATCTTGTATACCATCGTATACCCCGTCTGTTCACACGTAATACCCAAATAAATAGCTTGTATACCATCGTATACCCCATCTGTTCACACATAAGGTCTTATAAAATGAGTTAATTTTTAGGTCTTCAAACTGCTGAATAGAAAGTAATGCTAATCTCGTGTTTATGGGGAAAGTAACCAACTTTAACAATGAAATAATTTTTACCGTAGGGGCGCGTGGGTGCCGTATACCATTGAAACCACGCATGCGTAGCACTCCCACATGTCAAGCCCAGGGATGCTCCCTCACCCTCCACACCCCTAGTTCCAACACTCTTGCAAATCAATTAGACGTTATAGTTATCTTAGAAAGAAAAAAACATTCTAAAATCAAATATATGTGTAATCATAAACCCCCTCCAGTGGCACAGCAGCATGTCTGCGGACTTACAACGCTAGAAACCGGGTTTCGATACCCGTGGTGGCCAGAGTACAGACAGCCCATTGTGTAGCTTTGTGCTTAATTCTAACTAAACAAACAAACCCCCTAATGGCAAACGGCAAGTCTGAAGGCTTGTGACGCTAAAAACCGGGTTTCGATACCCGTGGTGGGCAGAGCACAGACAACCCATTGTGTAGCTTTGTGCTTGCCCCTAGTAGCATAGCGGTATGTCTGTGGACTTACAACGCTAGAAACCGGGTTTCGATACCCGTGGTGGCCAGAGCATTGTGTAGCTTTGTGCTTAATTCTAACTAAACAAACAAAAATATGATCATATTCTCCATATGTCTATGTATCTTTATTTTCAGTTATTTGATTTAATGAGAAACGTTTCACCTTTTCTAGGTCCCCCTAGGCTCTTGTTAGAGGGGCGTGGTCTACAGAAGAAGGTTTTTGCAGGGGCTGAAGCTCATCTTCCGTGTCCTGTTGCTGGTACCAAAGATTCTCTTGTTTATGATTGGTACAAGAGCCACCAATTACTACCCACTATAGGTAACCATCGATATCACGTGACCCATACAGGTACGCTTGTGATACAACATACCGCAGTGGAAGACTCTGGTTTTTACGTGTGCGAAGCATTCAATCAAAAGGGGGAGGTTGAAGCCCACGTTCATCTTATGGTTCTTAGTAAGTTTGAGGATCTTGTGTCTTCACGTAATTCAGGGGAAGACGATGGCACCTTCAGTAATTTTCTTTCTTACTCAATTTTCGTTTCCTTGCACGATGTTCCCATAAGTTATATATATATATAAATTGTTGTTACGGTGAGTATTGCATGATGTTCCCATAAGTTATATATATAAATTGTTTTTATGGTGAGTATTGCACGATGTTCCCATAAGTTATATATATAAATTGTTGTTATGGTGAGTATTGCATGATGTTCCCATAAGTTACATATATATAAATTGTTGTTACGGTGAGTAGGTTATATGGGGCGCAGGTTGGCCCTGTTGTAGTGTTCTGGATTTTGGTAAACCGGGTTCGAATTCGTGCGATACAATAAAATATTTCCCGCACTTTAAGTTGTAGATACGTTATAAGAGTGACAGTGAATTGTTGATGAAAGGGTGATTCTAACTGGCTGCCATACCTCTGGTCAGTAATTCTGGTCAGTCTTAGTAGCTTTAACAACACCTTAGGTAACTGTCTTTCAACCACGACAACGATTGCCACAACGTTACTTATCTAAAATCCATTCGTCATGTGACTTGTTTGAGTAGAACTTACCTGAAGCTGTCTAGTGTGACGTCACAATATGTTTTCATGATGTATAGTATAATCAGATGGTGACCAAACTTAAAATCACCCAAGTAGACAGCAGAAATAAACTAACGTTTTTGTTAATTTTGATTTGACATTCTTTCAGGCAGTCTAACAACACGGGGAAAAAAGGTTTAATCCCTTTTTGTTTGTTATTAAGCACAGAGATGCATAATGGGCTATCAGTGCTGTGCCCACCACGACTTTTTGAAACCCGTTTTAATGATGTAAGCTTGGGGGAGGAGAGTTGATCCACCCTTAAATTCGATGACGAGGAACCCACTTTGAGACTAATAATGGCTGGAGACGGCTTGAATGGGTACCTGATGATGACAAAACCTTGTCGAAACGTTCTACATTTGCTGTTATATTAAAGTTTTTCTTCATGATCCACCCTTAATACCATAAAGATGAGGAAATTCATGTAAAACCGATAGGCTGGTAGGCTTAATAATCATAATTATTTACATGGTTAATTTACAAATTATATAACTAATGGTGATATTAGTAGTTTATGAATAATTAAACAATTACATTAAAGCATCATGTAATATAAAATGAACAACAAGAACAAAACTCTAATACTATTCAAATACTACAGAAGAATCTTTGCGTGTCAATAATACGTAAGAAACACTACAGAAGATTGTTTGTTTTTTAATGTACGTCGAAATGTTGGAGGAAGGACTCTTGCCACTTTATTCCTCGGGTTTCGTGGACAAGAACCCAACGTTGTTCC